TTAGCCAGAATGGTCTCGATCTCCTGACCTCGTGATCCACCCGTCTCGGCCTCCCAAAGTGCTGGGATTACAGGCTTGAGCCACCGCGCCCGGCCTGTTTCAAATCTTAATAAAACGCATCATATTTCCAGTAATAAAATCAAAGTAAGACCAAAGGACTTTTCAGTTGAAAATGCCAGAAGTAAGAATAATTTATCTGAGAATGGCATATAGTCAAATCAAAAGTTTCAGGCAGGCATTAGCTGGCTCTCACTGGTTTCCCTGAGCAGACAGACCTGATTCCCACCTGAACTGCCTACCTTCTTATGCACAGGGCATCTGCCTTCTAGAGCCTTTACCTGGCTCTATAAATCTTATCCTTGGCTTTCATGTAGTACACTTTAAGCAAAAGGTAAATATCCCTTAACAGTGATGGCATATAGCCAATTTCGTTGTAGGATGCTGTTTTCTTTCCCATAAAAACCAAATGTTGGACAGGCGCAGTGGCTCAGGCCTGTAATCCCAGCACTTTGGGAGGACGGAGTGGGTGGATCACCTGAGGTCAGGAGTTTGAGACCAGCCTCACCAACATGGCGAAACCCTATCTCTACCAAAAATACAAAAAATTAGCTGGGCATGGTGGTGCTCGCCTGTAATCCCAGCTACTTGGGAGACTGAGGCAGGAGAATCGCTTGAGCCCAGGAGGGGGAGGTTGCAGTGAGCTGAGATCATGCCACTGCACTCCAGCCTGGGCCACAGGGTGAGACTCTGTCACAAAAAAAAAACAAAACACACACACACACACACAAACACACAGCTCAAACGTTTACTGATCATCTCCTGAATTTGTGGTATCTGTACAGGATTCAAATTCTGTAGGCTTCTGCTTCTCATTCCAAGGCTTAAGCACCAGAGTAATGCCAGTCACTCCTACCCCTGCCTGGGCGGAGCCATGTTTGTTGTTTTTAATGTTAGGATTCCACCTAAGCTTTCACAGCCAGGCACTGCCAAGAATATAGAGGGATGTCAGGAAGTCTGGAAAGGGAAGTGGACAATGCAAGGAAGAAATAATTGTTCTCAACTATAAGCAATTCTTCGTCTCCTTTAGGATCACGTATTCTCTTCGCTAGGGTCTTCCTGACACCGGTTAACAAAAGGGAGTCTCCAGGCACAGTCTCCATATTCTGAGATTCCTGGGTGTTCAAATGGGTCCTTCCATGGAGTCACCATTCTACATCATAAACTTGTATACCAACGAAAAGTTGTCCCAGGTACTATCAAAAAAATTGAGCAACTTTACACTGCAGCTCTTCATTCCTCCAACGATTTGAGTTTTATACAACCCCCCTCGCCCCCCAAAGGCTCTGTCTATGGAAGCTCACCAATGACCAGTCAATCCCAAATGGCCTATATTCAGTTTTTACCCATTCGAATTCTGACCACACCTATTTCTAAAAACTGTTTCCTTTCCTGGACATAGAACACTGCTCTCTCTGGGTTGTCCTCCAAGGTAGAGGTGACTCTTCCTCTGTAACAATTTTTCCCTTGTCTTTGGAATACAATTGGCCCCCACCTCTGGTGAATTCTGGCAAGGAACATGACTCCCCAGAGAGAAGCTGCAATTCCCAGATGACTGTGCAGAGAGGGAGGCCATGAGACTATGCTCAGGTCAATGGGATGTGAGTTGAACTGATCTGGGCAACTTCTGGATGACATCATTTACAAAGGAGCCGCTAGTACCCTCCTATCTCCTGCGTTTTCCTACAAGTGAGTATGGTGGTGCCCAGCCAGCTTCAACCATGTGGATGAAGGTAATTCCCTCGGGGAGAACAGGGAAGAGAGGGAGGGCGAAACACAGACTCATGTAAGACCTTAATCCAATGCAGAACTGCGAGAACATGTTATTTGGTGAAACTAAGGAAAGGTTTATAATCAGACACCCCTACACGCTTTCCTGGGCTAAGGTCTCTTCTGCAACTCCTGCTTTTGGAATCCAGGGATCTTTTCTAAATCTTCTGACCGTTCCTCCGCCCCTTCGGGTGGCAGAAGCCTCAGGGGTTTCAACACCTTCAGCTCCCCCGCCCCC